AGTTTCAGCAATGTAAGGATTCCCACTTGGTGAGGCGGAGAGGAGAGCCACACTGTTTTGGGAGAGTACAGACCCCTGCAGCCATTGAGGGAGAGATCCATGCAGTTTGGGGCAGAGTTAGGACCCCCTCTTGCCCAGGTGAAAGGGAGAAGCACGCAGTTTTAGCAGAGTTAGGACTCCCTCTTGGTGAGGTGAAAGAGAGAGCATGCAGCTTTGCCAGGATGGAGATCCCTGCAGCCAGATGAAGAAGAAAGCCACGTACTTTTGGCAGAGTGCGGACCCCTGCAGCTTTGGTAGAAGAGGCCCACGCAGCTTTGGGATGCTCCCTTTGGCCGAGGGGCCTGGGAAGCAGGAGAGACTTTGCGTGGAACTTGTTAGAAAGAACTCTTGCCAGGGGACCGTGAGAAGGTACCACATGACTTTGGATTAACTGGAGATCTTGCCTGGACAGCAACACAGCTCACGGTGCCAGCGACCTGAAACAGATGTGTGCTTCTTTTCCTGAGATAGGGTACCCTGAATTAGGGCAGGGGGAGAAGGAAGCCCTGTGGGCGTCTGTGGTTATCCTAAAGGACTTTGATGTTTTTATGGGGGCCTCAGGTCACTACTTTAAGTCTGTACATAAAAAACCCTTTTCTTTCCTCTTCACAAATCTCTGGCATTGAGAGATGTCTTTCCAATTGGAGCCTAGTAGGTATTAGTATACCATCCTCAGGGCGGTGGGGGGGGGGCTGTTGTTCTGTAGCAGTTTTTGGTATCCCTAGGTAGGCCAAATATTGCCCCCCCCCGCCCTCTGTTTTGTAACACTTTGATGGTGAATGAAGTTTAAACATGTAAAGATAAATACACAATTTTTTTATAAATAAATCCTGGTTTTTGTGTGTCCACCCCCATATTATTTATTTCAGATACCGTATTCTGAACAGATGACTGTTTTTCTATGGTTTCTATGTCCTTTTTGATACTGTTGAGCACCCTTATAATCATTACTCTAAATTTTATATTGATAAGTTGCTTGCTTCCATTTCATTTAGTTCTTCTGGAAAATTCTCTTGTTCTTACTTCTGAGGCCTGCTTCCTTTTCTTCCCATTTTGGCTGTCCCATTGTGTTTGTTTTTATGCATTAGGCAGGAATGCAAAGACTCTGTTGCTGCCCTGTATCAAATGCTGACTGACCCTGGGCAACCTTTCTGGAACTATTAGCAATCCACACTTTGTGTGGCTCCCTCTGCTGGGCCTAGGTGTGCGTAAAAAGATTCAACCTGTGCACCAAGGCTGACTTTTTTACTAGCACTGGGGTTTGGGGAGGGTCACTTATAGTCTCAAATCTCTCAAAGATCTACCTTCCCCTGCTGGCTTTCTGTTTGGTTAAGCAGTGAAAGTGCCTCCATCAGTACTACTCAGCAGAGCTTAAGCTCCACAGGGATTGCTGCAGGTAGGACTATTTCTTACCCTCAGGCTGATGCCACTTGAAAGGGAGAGTTCTGCCTGAGGAAGTTGGCCACAGTATCATGGGGAATGACTCAGGACAGGGATCCTGATGGCTGACCCTTCAGCTTTCTCCCCAGGGCCACCTACCCCAGACTCTTCTCACATTGCTCGTCTGTTCTGCCCTTCCTCAGCTAGAGCCCAAGATAAGTGACTACAAACAAAATTTTGTGTGTTCTCTGTGTCTCTAGCCATCTCTCCCTAGTAGACAGAAAACCCACTGCTTTTTGCAGACAGATGTTATTTGGGTTCTTTCCTAGTTCTGGTGCTCTTAGCTGTGGTGCCCAGCTTAGGGTTTAGATCCCACAGTTCTCAGGTGGACCACCTCCCCCCAGCCACCTCTGGAACTTTATTGGTTGCCTGTGGGAGCCCTGGCAGCCATCTCATGCCTCCCCAATTCCTGCCAATCTTAATGTAGTGGACGTGGTTTCTTCTGTAAAGTCCTTGGTTATAAGGCTTTTTTCCAGGTATTGTTCAGTTGATTATTCATGATGATTTTTCTATAATTTAGTTGTAATTCCACTTTGGTCCTGGGAGGTGGTTAGTATAGCTTCCACCTGCTCTGCTGCCATCTTGGATCTCTTTCTTAGAAAAATTGTTTCATCTAAGTTTTCAGTTTTATTTGGATAAAGTTATGCAAGTTAAAGAACCAGTTTGTATATTTATTTGTCAGTCCTAGTTTTCTAAATCATTAATACCCCTTCCTCTCTTTTTTTATTTTGTTTATATTTTTATCCTAATCCTTTGAATTGGATATTTACTTCATTTATTTTTATTATTTTATTTGTATTGGTATAATATTAAATGACTTGAATTTTCCTCGAGTCTCTATTTCAGTTGCATTCCTTAGATTCTGACTTCTTGTTTTCCTTATTGTTCATTTTGTTTTTAGTTATCCTATGATTTTTACCAATATTTTTATTTGACCTAGAGTTATTTAATTTAAAACATTTGCAGGGAAATGGTTTTTTGGATCTACTTTGTTGTTAGTTTTAGTTGTATTGCATTGTGATTGGATGATTTTGTTTGCATTATTTTTTCATGACTCATACTGCGACTATTCCATGTACACTTGATAAGAAGCTGTACTGTCTGTGTGAGAGCAATATTTGTTAAATAATGATAATATAAACCTTATTATGCTCTTTAGGGCTTATTTTTCATTCATTTGATTGAAAGTGGTATTTTATTTTTATTTTTAAAAATATTTATCTACCTATCTATCTATCTATCTATCTGTAGAGGGGAAGGGAAGGAGAGAGGGAGAGAAATATCAATGTATGGTTGTGTCTCATGTGTCCCCTGCTGAGAACTGGCCTGCACCTCAGGGAATCGAACGGTGATACTCTGGTTTACAGGCCCACGCTCAGTCTACTGAGCTACACTAGCCAGGCTGAAAGTGGTGTTTTAAAAAGTTACCTGTTGTTAACTATATCTGTTTCTACATGCATCTTCCTGGTTTATCTGCTTTGTAAAGAGATGGTTGCTCTGATAAGTAGCACATAAATATTTATAACTTTCATCTTCATTTGGAATTGTTGCCTTCAGGATTATAAAAATCTTTTTTTTTTTTAATTTTATTTAATGCTTTTTATTCACTACCATCCTCTTCACCAGTATTTCTGAATCATCTCATGGAGGAATTCATCTTTCAGTAGATTTTTTATAAACAGCTTGCATCTATAATGTTTCATGAATTTTTACATAACAAAAGCTGCTTTTCTATGGTTTTACAAGATGCACAACTTGGATAGATATAAAATCCTTGACTCACAGTGTTTTTTAGTTCCTAGGAACAAGAAATCTCTCACTTTGGCTTTATATGGTTGTTTCCTTTTGATTAGATTGAAGTTAAGCATATTAGCAAAATATTATATAGGTGATAGTACCCTTCTTAGTGTAGTATATTACATCAGAAGGCACATAATATCTATTCTGAGTTGGATTTTTTTTTTCCTATTTCAGGTAGAGTTTATTTTATAGAGCAGTTTTGCTGTAAGAAAAAGTACAGGTAGTTCCCATATATACTCACTGTGCATATATACCCTATATGTCCCACCTATAGGGGCATGCACATATACCTCTACTGTCACTATCCACTCAGAGTGCTGCATTTGTTATAATCGATGAACCTATACTGACATATCATCATCATCCAAAATCCATAGTTTATGCTAGTGTTCACTTTTGGTTTTATAAAATCTATGGATTTTTTTTATGAATGTGTCCAAGTATCCAACATTATATTAGGTTGGCCAGAAAGTTCATTTGTTTTTTCTGTAAGATGGCTCTAGTAGCACTTAGTTATCTTTAACTTATTGGAAACAATTTTGCTACATTGTATTGTCTGCATGAGATGTGATGCGTAAATGGGTGTGTTCTCATAATGAAGCTGCCAATCACCAGTTGCCCACAGCTGCAGCCTTCTGAATCATCAAAATAGTTTCTGTGGAGGAATGTTCAAGCTTAAGGTAGAATTCTATACAGATTCGTTGCTCTGCTCAGTCATTTTGAAGCCACACAGTACACATGTTCACTCAATAGCATCTTCTGCCCCACTGACTACTGCAATGAGGTCATCACGGTTTGTGCATGCACATTCCATTCTACTTTCCTTGGCTTCCAGGTTATATTAATGATGTGCAAACTGTTCTCACAATCATTAACAATGATTGGAATTTTTCTGCACAGACCTCATGCATACAAGGCATGGGGCCCCACTGTATTCACTGTAAAATTATATTAGGTACAAAAAAATTGTTTAAGGTTATGCCATTCATCAGTTTCTGATTCTTGATAGCAACCTGATATGGGCTATACTGTAATGAGCTTAAATCAATACATCTTGATAAATCTCCATTTTTATAGTATAGGAATTGGGACCAGCAGGAATTATCTCTTGATACACAGAAATAATTCTTGAATATTATAAAAACCACTACTGTGTTCAAACCATTGTGCTTTCTGAATATATACCTTTATGAAATGATACAGTTTTTATTTAAGTGATTTTTAGACCCTTCTCTCAGAGAAAATAAGAAGACAATTGATTTTAAATGTGTCGAAAACCTTACCTTTATAAACCAGAAGGATCTAGAAAATAACTCTTGGGATATTTGTCTAATACCAGCAAAGCTGGCTCAGAATTAACTATGACTACTACCAGTATTTCTTTTGTATGCTTAGTGTAACTGAATAGCAGAATTATTTAAGCTTTTTGGAGGAACTTATGTTTCAGCTAAAAAGAAAGTTAAAATTTCAATTATATATATACATATATATTTTTTTCTGAAAAAAACTTTTTATTAGTACAGTCTGTGTTCATGTTTTGTATATCTTAATTTTTAAAATGTGAAAGTGCTACAAGGTTCTTAAACTTACATTTGTGTGACATTTTTAAATTAGAAATCTATAATTTTAAAGTTCCCCATTCTGATAAAGACCAATGTTTTTCCATTTTATTTTATATTCCTACTTAGTGCTTTAATATATAACTTTATTTTGACTTGTAGTGTATGCAGAGAATATTTCCAAAATGGTGGGAAGAGAAAAGCACTTGAAAAAGACAAAAAAAGAACAGTACTTGCTACTAAGACCACTCCAGCCTTAAATACACATGAATCTTCTAAACTTGAAGGTCATTCAACCAACCTCAGCTTTACAAATTCTGAAATTATAACTGAGTAAGTATACTTTTTCTATTTCAGTTACTAACATTATCCTGGGTAGCTGTGTTATTATTATAAAATAGTGTGATGGTTTACCAAATAATGTGTAGTATGCTTACCCCTCTGGTAATATGTTAGCCTGACAAATGCAGATGTGTAATATTATTAGGTAGAATACCATCATAAAATTTTAAAGGATATTTGGAAAACTAGAGGTTCTATAATATAGAGTGTCCTCACCAAAAATGAGAAAAAATAGTTTATTAAATGTTTTAATGATTATTCTTATGGTAACACAAAGAATCAAAATAGGAAAATCTAATTAAATTACATTTAATTTAAAGTCGCTGCCACTAAGAAATCACAAATAAGGAATGATGAAAGATTATTAATAGAACCAATTGCCATGATTTTACTATTTATAGGAAAATCTGCCTGGTAGTAATCAAAGTATGCATGTAGGTACAACTTTTATTTCATGAGTATATGATCGTTTCTCTAGTTTTATTGAGATATAATTAATGTGTAATGTTATGTAAGTTTAGGGCATACAGCATAATGATTCAGTATGTGTATATGTTGTGAAATGATTACCACAATAAGTTAACATCCATCACCTCAAATAGTTATTCCTCACCTCACATAATTATAAATTTTTCTTCTATGATAAAAACTTTTAAGGTCTACTGTCTTAGCAGCTTTTAAATATATAAGACAGTGTTGTTAACTATAGTCATCATGTTTTACATTATATCCCCAGAACTTATTTATCTTATAACTGAAAGTTTGCACCTTCCACTACCCTCTTGCTGCAGTCCCCATCCCTGCCTCTGGCGTCCGCAAGTCTGATCACTGCTTCTTTGAGTTTGATATTTTTAGATTCCACAAGAAAGTGAGATCGCTCAGTATTTGTCTTTCTTTGTTTGACTTACTTCACTTAGCATAGTGCCTTCAAGGTTCATTCATGTCACAAATGCAGGATTTCCTTCCTTGGGAATTGATTGTGGGAGAAGAGTTTGGATGGACAGGGGAGAGCAACGGGAAAATCAGGACAACCGTAATAGAAAAATAACTTTAAAAATCACTGATAATGTTCAGAGAATGGATTTTCCATTAGTTAACGCCCTCTTGCCTATTTTATTAGGATATCTTGGTTTCCTGATATTGGACCTCAGAAAACATTTACTGATTTCATATGTGGTGTTGGAGATTGATGATACTTACTCTTGTCATTTTTTTTCTGAAATCACTTGTTTTGATAAATATACTTCATTCTTTATCACAGCATTTCCATATGAAAGTGTCAAAATAATGTGATAACTGTCTTGTTAATGATAGGTTTATACAGGTAGTTATTTATACTATATATGGTATAATACCAATTTTCAGACACTTCACATAAAGTACATTTTATGTTAGGGTATATTGAACATAGTTGGGTACGTCCAATCAAGATAATGAAGAATCATACTCAGTCTTAATAGGAAAAGTCAGTTAAGACCAATTTAACTGGTAGAATCTTAACCATCAGTTTGTGCTATAATTTTTATTTACTACACTGCTTCTAAATAAGGTGATCATATGCCCAGATTTGTCTTATATGCACTACTTTATGCTTATTGATTGTACTTCCTTTTATTTTCAGTAGTGTTTTAGTTTGTGTACTATATATGTGTTCCTGTGAGTTTATCTGTAAACTACCCATGTTTGTGTAACCGTAAAATGTAAAACTCATAACTATGCCACAGTTATAAATATACAGTAAGAAAAGTAAGGTAGATTTAAACAGTAGACAAACAAGATACAAGTAAATGGACATCATAATCTATCACATGACTTTTCTTATCCCATGCATTAAAAACTGGGTAACTTTTTTTTTCATGGCATAGAAGAGCAAGCAAAGATAAAAAGTGGAGATTATTGGACTTGAAAACATTCAGTCTGAAAATCTATAATTGAAAGGCAGAAGAACTAGTGACCAGTAGGATGAAGTATCAAGTAGCCCCAGCAACCAGAACACATAAAGCAGGTATATTTCCAGTCACTTGAAAAAAAAAATTTATTGAGTGCCACTATATCTCTATCTCTCTGTGCTTAGGCATCATGGAAAATAGTGGCAAAAGGGTAAAAATTTAAAATAGCATTATACTAAGAGACATAAATGTAAAAGTCCTGATTGACTTAGTGTACATTGAATTCTTAAACTTTATACTTCTGTATTTGTTACTTTTGGTTGCTAGTAGTAAATGCAATAGTTTACAGTATTCTTAGAGCAAAGCCATTGTTTTCCATGTTTTACTTTTAAGTATTAGCAGTATTCAGTAGTTGAAACTAGTTAACTTTTTTGCATTTTAATTTAATTTAAATACAGGGTGTTTTTTTGTTTTTGTTTTTGTTTTTTTGCTGAGTGTAGGGGGAAAACTTGCGCTTTTCAGAATCATTATGCCATATTTTATGATTTATCTATCTAGGAATCTTATTTTTTAAGTTTTTAATCATATAAATCATATTACAACAGCAAGGAAAAGGATGTGAAAAAGATTAATTTCACTTAGACTGTCAGTGTACTATCATAGGACCTATAGACCCTGTAATGTCTTTGTGTACAGATAATTTCTTTTCATACATAAAGAATTCCTGGAAAATGTTTAAGAGTCAAATGGATTCGTATGAAAGTTGGAGAGTTATGTCTTTTATTCCCATTCCCTTAATAAATAAAATTCTTAATTATATTTTATGCTTTAAAGAGTTATTGACAATGTATTTCCAGTATGGTATACACATTCTTCAATAATTATAAAACTGAACACACAGTTTAATTTTAGTTTGTCAAGTATATGCCTAACAAGTATGAAATTGAGAGTCTGAAAATTCACTGCGTTATGGAACCTTAATGAATTTTATCTCTGTCTCAATTACCCTAAGACTAATTACTAAGTTTCTTGTCACTGGTATTGTTTTAATTTTCTGGTTATTTGTATGAAATTATGGATAGTACAATAAATGTTATAATTGGCAATAGTGTAAAGGGGAAAGAATGGACCTCAATTTGTAAATACCGTTATCAGTTGTTATTTAACAATTGCCTTACCGTGCTTACAATCTCTCTTTTTTTTTTTTTTTTTTGAGAAAGTACCTTTGTTTGAAAGGATGGTTAAGAGGGAGAAAGGAGAAGTGAGAAAATTAAGAATAAATTTGAAGCCTGCTGTTAATTAAGGAAAACAAAAAAGGGAAATGTAAAACTCTCTGCGATTTAGTACTCCAGCTTGGACAGGATCTATAACTTGTGACCTATAGTGAAGAGTAGAGTTAGAGAATTTTGGTTTTCTAAACCTTTTACCATGGAGGTTATGGGAAAGCTGTTCTTTAGGGAGATACAATAGGAGTGGAAACTCTGTAATCAGTAAATTGTCTTAGTCTTGAGTTTCAGTCCACTCCCTTCTTTCATTGGCTCTCTCCCATTCTCCATGCTTTGCTTGGCCTAGGGCGACTCTTTACCTGTGGATCTGCCAAAGTCAGAGCTGACTTCTTTAGATTAGGCACTATGTTGCACACAATTCTGAAATGTTTACTTATACCAAATTTAATGGCATATTAGTATTAAGTATAGTATACTTAATACTAATAGCCAGTTTTGTTCTATTGGGTAACAGTATGAGGAGACATCTATAGATATTTCAGTTTTCAAATCATGTATTTATGTATGATTTTTTTTGTAGTGGGAGTCCTAATGTACCATTATATGTTTATTATATCATTTCCAATTCTCCCTCAGCTCAGCTCTACTATAAAAAGCCATGTATACATAATTCATAAGGTATTTTATTTGTTATAGCAATTACCTAAATTATATTTCTGCTTTGTAAATTTAAAGGCAAGAAGTTGGCCTTATCACTAATATATCATAGACATTTATGGAATACTAGACACATAATACTCAATATATATTTGAAAGAATGAAATAAAAATACAGAAACAGTTGAATAATTGAATGTAGAAGTTTGGGGTTGGTTACTTTATTTCTGGAGAATATTTTAAAATTCAGAGTGTGGCCTTAACAATTTGACCAGAGAGGATTTCCAGCCCAGAGAGAGGAGTATAGGTAGAAACACTTGGCTACAACCAAAAGAAGAATAACAACCAATGTAAAAATAATAAACAACCAGAACTTCTGGAACATCAACCTGCATGGAACTCCAACAACCAAGGAGTTAAAGAAACATTCATCCAGACCAATGCATTGAGACAGAAATATAGCCCAAAAGGAATATCAAAACTCCAGAAAAAGAGCTAAGCAACAAGGAGATAAGCAACCTGTCTGGTGCAAAGTTCAAACATTGGTAATCAGGATGCTCACAGAAGTGACTGAGCTCAGTTGCAAAATAAAGGAAGAAATTGAGGCTACACAAAGTGAAATAAAGCAAAATATACAGGGAACCAACAGTGAAGGAAAGGAAACCAGGACTCAAAGCAATGATTTAGAACAAAGGGAAGAAATAAACAGTGAACTGGAACAGAATGAAGAAACAAGAATGCAAAAGAATGAGAGAGGCTTTGGAACTTCTGGGACAACTTTAAACATTCCAGCATCAGAATCATAGGGTTACCAGCAGGAGAAGAGGAAGAGCAAGAAATTGAAAACTTATTGAAAAAATATTGAAGGAACACTTCCCCAGTCTGGCAAAGGAAATAGACTTCCAGGAAGTCCAGGAAGCCCAAAGAATCCCAAAGAAATTGGGTCCAAGAAGGAACACACCAAGAAACAGCATAGTTAAGTTACCCGAGATTAAAGATAAAGTGGGAATCTTAAAAGCACCAAGAGGAGACAGTTGCCTACAAAGGAGTTCGTATAAGGTTATCAGCCGATTTCTCAAAAGAAACCCTTACAGGCAGGAAGGGGCTGGAAAGAAATATTTGCTGTCATGAAAGGAAGGAACTACATCCAAGATGAATCTATCCAGCAAAGCTATCATTTAGAGTGGAAGGGCACATAAAATGCTTCCAAGTAAAAGTTA